TTCTAGAGTTTATATACTATCCTTCTGTGGTCTTTGAAGGAGTTGAAGACAGATAGTAATGGTTATAGTTTTCATTAGTCAGGATTAAAGATAAGTTACATATAGAACTTTAGACTCACAAAGATGAAATAGATGATGGAATAGTTTCTTAAATCTTGATAAATGTTAATGGACTAAATAGTGTTAACTGTGATTCTTATTTGATAACTGTTATGTGATATATTTTGCTATGTTAAGGTTAAAACCCTTCTTTTTATTTAAACAGAAAAGAGGAGATGATGGGAGATGCCATTATGTATATATGTTTCTCATACTGGTTAATAATAAAGCACTGTTGGCCAATAGGAAAGGAAGATAGGAGGGACTAGGAGACAAGGAGGAAATAGGAAGTAGTGAGGAGGAGCCAAGATGGAGAGTCTGGAGAAAGCAGTATGCCGCCGGCTCCCCGGTAAGAGAAATACATAGATCAGCAGAAATGGGTTAATAATTAAGGCAGAGCTAGCCGATAAGAAACAAGTAACCGCGCCAACAGCATTGTATCAAATACAGAGTCTCTGTGTATTATTTGGGGCTAGTGGCGCAGCAGCGGGACAAGACCAGCGGCAGCGGGCAGAAAAACCGTACACGTTACACCTGACTACATTTTCCCCTCTTTCCTCTCCTCCTGTTACCTCCTCCCTTCTCCCTTTTGTCAACCCCCCCAATCTGTTAAAAAAAAGGGGCAGACCTCCCATGGGTGTCAACAAAGCATGGCATATGAAGTTGAGGTATGACTATGCTCCTGACATGGAAACTTTTCTGAGACAGGGTTCCTCTGTATTGCTTTGGAGCCTGTCTGGAACTTGCTATATAGACCAGGCTGACCTCAAACCCACAAAGATCCACCTGCCTCTGCCTCTCAAGTGCTGAGATTAAAGGTGAGCATCACCAATTCCCTGCTATGCTCCTGACATGGAAACTTATTAGTTATGATGCCTGACCTTATTTTATGCTTGTCCCATTAGCTCTTATAACTTAAATTAATCTGTTTCTCTTCATCTATGTTTTGCCTCTGGGCTTTTTTCCTTTCTTTCATTCTGTATGCCTTACTCTGACGGCTGGTGGCTGCCTGGCTGCCTGGCTGCCTGGCCCCGGGTATCTCCCTTTCTTTCTCCCTCATTCTCCACCACCACTTCTCTCTAGCCTAGATTCCTCCTCCTACTTATTCTCTCTGCCTGCCAGCCCTGTCTATCCCTCTACTGCCTAGTTATTGGCTGTTCAGCTTTTTATTAGACCAATCAGGTTTCTTTGATAGGCAAGGTAAAACAGCAACACATCCTAGTTAAATTAAATAAATGCAGGATAAACAAATATAGCACACCTTTACATGGTTAAAGTAATATTCCACAACATAAACAAATGTAGCACATTGATACAGAGTTAAAGTAATATTCCACAACAACGGTGGGATATGTCTTCAACTCCAGCACATGGTAGGCAGAGACAGGCAGAGCTCTGTGAGTTTGCGGGCAGCCTGGTCTATATAGCAAGTTCTGGGACAGCCAGGGCTGTATTGTAAGACCCTGTCTCAAAAACAGTAACAAAACCAAACAACGCCCTGCCCCCACAATCAGATAGCTATGTTTTTTTCATAACAGAAAACAAAAACAAAACTGTGGTGGGAGAGCAGAGATACAGCCAGTGTCTCCTTGTTGCTCCCAGGAATACTCTAGTCCCTGCTCCCCAGTGTATGGATTACAAATGTGTCTCACCCAATGCCTGGTGTGGAGATCCAAACATCAGGCACTTGTCAACAGCGCCATCTCCAAAGCCCCCACAGCTGGATTTCTTACAATCAGCATGGTTCCAGTTCTGGCTAGTTTATTCTTGGAGAGCTGCCTTGTGCAATGTAGAATGGTTTTCCTGCATCTCTGGGTCCTACTCGCTAACTGGCCAAAATACACTGTGGTCATGTGAATGACCCTCATAGGTTTACTATATATCTATGTTCTTAGTCCCCAGTTGGTGAATGGTCTGAGAAGTATTACGGGTATGGGCTAGTTGGAGGAGGTGCGCCACTGGGATCGGCGGTGGGCTTTAGGTTTCAAAAGCCCTGGCCAGACCCAGCGTCTATCTCTTTCTTCCTGCTGCCTGTGAATCAGAATATAAAGTTCTCAGCTACTGTTCCAATGCCATGCCTGTCTGTTTCCCACCATGATGACTATGGACTAATCCTCTGAAACAGTAGGCAAGCCCCCAGTTAAATGCTCTTTTAAAAAGATAAGAGTTGCCTTGGAACAGTGACTAAGATATACACTTCTCCAAGTCACAACAATCAAAGATACTGACTGCTATCCCTCACCCCCAAGTCTTAAGCAGGAGAATTATCACACATTTTAAGTCATCCTGTGCTACATAGTGAGACCATGTCTCTAAAACCATGCAAAAAATGCTTTTTGACAGGATTGGCTCAGTGTTCTACCATTTGTGGAACACAAGTGAAGCCTTAGGTTCCATTCCCACCGTTGAGAAAAATAAAAATCTTTAAATATTCAAAGTGTTCCTAGTGTAGCAAAATGGCCCTGGTTGAAAAGTTAAAACCTCCTCCTTAATTACACATTTGTCTTACTGATTTGGTTCTCTCTCTCTCTCTCTCTCTCTCTCTCTCTCTCTCTCTCTCTCTGTGTCATGCATCATTTCATTTTTCAGTTAAACATTTTTGGATTTGGTTTTGGAGACTGAACCAGGCTTTGTATGTGTTAGACACCTGCTCTACTTATTATGCAATAAAAATATTTTTACATCACCAAAATTTCCTTGGTAAACAGGGCATATTTCTTTAGTTGATCAACCAATGAACATAAATCAAGCTTTTTGTAAACAGGGTTTGGCATGGTGGCATGTAGTTGTAACCCCAGCTTTGGGGTAAGAAATAGGGTGACAGAGAAAGGCGGGTTCCTGAAGACCATTAGCCAGTCAGACTAGTCACACTGGTGAACTCCAGATGGACCTTATCTCAAAAACATAAAGGCAAAAGACCTGACATCATCCCAGCTTCATAAACTATCCCCTCCATGCACAAATAAAATACCACCCACAACTGGGCAGTGGTGGAACATGCCTTTAATCCCAGCACTCAGGAGGCAGAGGCAGGTGGATGTCTGTGAGTTCGGGACCAGCCTGGTCTACAGCTCTAGTTCCAGGACTGATTCCATAGTTACTGAGAAACCCTGTCTCTAAAAACCAAAACCAAACCAACCAAACAAAAACAAAAAGCCCAAACAAAAATAAAAAGCCCAAACAAAAACAAAATGACAACAGCTCCCCCAATATTGTATAAATATATTACTGTACCACCTGACTGAAGCACTGTTACAGCTGCTGTAATTAAAACAAAGGGGCTGGGAAAGGCTGAAGAACCAAGTAGCTCAGGCTGCTTTTGAACTCCTGTTCTTCCTTCCTCCAACCTGCTGTATGCTGGGATTGCAGGCTTGCACCACCACACACACACAGCTGGCACTCCTGCATTAAATCTGTCAAACTGTATAGTGAGACCTTGTTTCAAAAGCTGGGAGGTGGAAGCTGAAGAAACACAAGTTCAAGGTCATCTCTGACAACAACCAGGACAAGGAACAAAACAATAACCCAGAAAAACTTAACAACAACAACAACAACAACAAAAAGCTGAAACAAACCCAATCCCTTGCCCAAAACCTGGAGCAAACAAAACCCCTGCTCTCCCACCATCTAGCTTCTTGCTGACACACCTAGTTCAGGGTCCCTACCAGGCACTTTACACTTCTTATCCCTGCCTGGAGTATGCTCCTTTAAGTCTCCTTCCAGAACCCTTCCCCTAACCCCTAAATTCCCTGTGCACTGCAGGTGAGGGCCTTGAGTCTTTTTCTCTTCCACAGAATACCCATCATTTTTTCACATGATTGAAAGGCACAAGACAGCAGGGAGTCTGCCCCCTAAGAGACTCACTAGCCTGGGCCACAATTAGTCAATGCTCTGTTAATAGGAAACAATCTACAGTAGCTTTCAATCACAATCCAGATGAGTTGGAGTTAATGGTTTAAAGAGTTTTATTGTTGGGTGATGGTGGTACACACCTTTAATCCCACACTCTGGAGGCAGAGGCAGGCGGATCATAGTGAGTTCAAATCCAGACTAGTGTATGGAGTTCCAGGATAGGCTCCAAAGCTACACAGAGAAACCTTGTCTCCAAAAACAACAAAAAAGGTTTTATTAATTTACCGTGTGTAAGAATATGTGTGGATAGATGCGTGGCACAATATGGAGGTCTGAAGACAATTTTTGGCAGCAAGCACCTTTATATGCTAAGCCATCTCACTGGCCTTAAATATACTTTTAACTCATTGCTGTGACAATTTTTAAAATCTATCTATCTATCTATCTATCTATCTATCTATCTATCTATCTATCTATCTATCTATCATCTATCTGCTATCTATAGTTTTAATAAATGTATGTCCATGCATAATTCCTGGGTTAAATACTCAGTACCACAGTAGGTAGCTAGAGATAAATAGATAGATATACAGGTACACATAGATTGAGGGCCTGCAAGTTGGGAAAAGTATCACTTGCAGAGAATATTTCTGGGAAGTGGCACTTTATGTACAAAGGTCCCGCGGGGAGGGGGGCAAGATTCAGGGTCTTAGGACTTCAGCCATACCCTAGGACTTAAACTCGTCGCATAAATCCCACTGGAATAAGTTAGCTTAGATTCCTTCTGTAGCCTATTAGTGCCCTGTAAATAAAACCCCACTTTCTTAAGTCCTGGTAGGGTTCAGCTCTGGCTGGGGCAGCACCCCAATCCACTGTTCTCCTTTTCTCAGATCGCTACTATGGACCCGCCCCCCAACCGCGTTCCCACCCTCGCCCCACCCAGACAACCCACTTTGTCTTACTATTGGATAGTTCTGTCAGATCCGAGTTCTGGTTGGCTGTAAAGGCCATCAGTTAGTTGTGAAAGCCTTGATAACCCGTCCCGAGCATCGAGGGGGCGGGCTCGGGTGCGGTGCGGGCGCGGCCAGGGCTTCGAATTCAGGTAAAGTCCAAACTTGCCGGTACACCCATGTGGATCCTAGAGGGGAAACTGAGGATACAGGTGTCCGGAGGGGCGCGGTTCATTCAGCCCTTCTAATGGGCTCTGTGCGCTGCGACGGGGTGGGTGTCCTGTCCTGTAATGGTGACTCTTCGGACACTGAGAGCCCCAGGTGGGTTAGAGCCAAACCGGGAGGGGAGCGCTAGATTGAGCAGATCACAGCTACACTACCATCCAGGACCCAACCGGGGAGCTTGTGCGCACAGTAGTCTCCCAGATGCCTAAGGGACCCTTCTCTAGTGTTGGCTTGGGGACCTGGGACTGGCTCTTTTCGGGATGGGCTTCTTGCAGGGTGGAGGAAGGCGGGTGATACGGAAACGGTGTTGGAGGGAGGGACGGATGGCCCCCCGGACCCATAGACAATAGTAGCGGATGGAACCGCCCAGCGGCTTTTCCTGTAGGAAACTGCCCTGTCTTTTCAAAGCTGACCTGATTGTGTATATTTGGGGAAGGGTGTTTGTATGATGAACCAAGGACCCCTGTCCTCCCATCATCTACTCCCCACACGCCATAAATCTGAGTATCCAGATTTATGTACCCAACATTAAGGGGGTACCACCATACAGAGCCTTAGGTCAGGAAGACATACCCTCTTCAGGACCTCGAATACGCACTGCGTGTTCGGTAACCCATGCTTCAGCTCCGTGTCCCGAAATAGCCCCGGGGCGGGTGTGGGGGCGTGTGGCTTCAGCTCTGACGGCCTAATGAGGGGGTCTCATGCAGGGGATCTGGATTTAGCTTTGACAGCCAGGCAGTGTGGGAGAGAAGAAGGCAGCTACACGCCCCACTCAAGGAGGCATTGGCTTGTGGAGCAGCCTAGGTATGGGGTTTGCTCTACCATACTCCTTCCTCTCCAGTTAAGGACCCATGCTAGGCTGACTGGTGCTGGCTGGGAGGGTGAGCAATAAGTGGCCCAGGTTCCCTGGCATTTCCGGGCGGGGTGGGCGGGAGGAATCTTTCCAAAAACTCCTGTAATCCCAGTTACAGGAGAGATCGAGGTAGGAGAAAGTTGAAGGCCTGCCTGGGAACTGCTACAGAGTGAGTTCAAGGCCTGCATGGACAACTTTGTAAAGGGGTTTAGGGATCAGCCAGATGGGTTGACCAGTAAAGATGCCTGAGGACATCCCTGACATTCCTGGGTTGGGATCGATCCCTGGGCTCTACATACTTTAAGGGGAGAAGTGATTCCAAAGAATGGCCCTCTGACCTCCACTCTCACCTGGTGGCATGTTTGCGTCCCTCACCTCCCGCATGAAATAAATAAGATGTAGTTAAAGAGAAAAGGGCCAGTGGTGTATGTAGCTCAGTGGTGGAGAACTCAACATGCCTGAGGCTCAAGGAGGGTTGGAGGGGTTGGGGGGAAGGAGAGGGAGTCAGAAAGGAAGAAAAGGCATTCCTTCGGGCGTGGAGGGTGCATGCCTGAAATCCCAGCATGTGGGAGGCTGAAGCAGGAAAATTTGGAGTTGGAATAATTAAATAAATGAATACAGGCCCTCAGTGTGGTGGCTGCACATAGCTGAAATTATCAGCACGCCAGAGGCAGGAGAGTCTCTGTTAGTTTGAGGCCCTCCTGATTTACTTAGCAAGTTCCTCAGCTAGCCATGCATAAGAAGACCCTGTCTTAAATAAATACATAAGATAAACAAAAAGCAAACAGGGCCAAGCTCTGTGAGTTCAAGGCCAGCCTGGTCTAGCTGCATAGTGAGACCTTGTCTCAAACACAAAGCAAAACAGAAAGTCCAAAACCTCTAGCAACCACAAACTTCCAAAAACAAGCAAAACGTGGAAGGAAATGAAATAGGGAGATGAGATGACAGTTGCCGGAAAGTTTGAGTTCAGTCCTCGGGACACACATGATCAAGTGTACTGTCTCTCACAGTTGCTTTCCAGCCTTCATATATGTGTTGAGGCATGCATGTGCCCACACTCTCAAAAAACCAGCGCAAAAACAAACAAACAAACAATGCAGTCAAGCATAGTAACCAGTACAGGAATTTGAACAAGCTACATGGACTCAACCCTGCCTCTGTCCATATGGGTCTTTTGGGATATAGCTTAATTGCTCTCTGCACCCCTGTTTTCTCCATCTGTACAGTAGGGAGGGGGTCAATGATAATATGAGGACCAATGGTAGAAGGCTAGGGCTGATGTGCACAGACTACTTAGAAGCTGAGGGAAAAAAAGAAAGCAATGAGGGTGTGCCTGTGGCTCAGTTATTAGAGTGTTTGCTTAGCATGCGTGAAGCCTTGTGTGGTAAAGCACATTCCAGCACTCAGAAGGTGGAAGAAAGAGGGTCGAGTTCACAGTCGCCCTCAACTATATAGGGAGCTGGAGGTCAGCCTGGGCTTCCTGAGACCCTGTCTCAAAAACCAAGCCAAAAACAAACAAACAACCCAGATGGCTTAGTGGTTGAGTACTACTCTTGCAGTTTGATTGAATCCCAGCATCTATTAGTTGATAAGCTGACACCTGTGACTCCAGTTTCAGGGGATCTATAGCTTTTGGCCTCCATGGGCAAATACAAGACACAAAATGTAAAAAGCCTTAAAAAACCCCCAAGTTGAAAACAACCAGCAATAATCTTACTGTTATTTACCTCCCTATTAACGTCCACCATACATTCACAGTGCAACCCCTAAACCTGTCTGTTCCATCTGCTCTGGGTCTTAGAAATGAGTTGTGGCTATTTTCTCTGTCCCATAGCTTTGGACCACTCCAGCTGTGTGAAAGGCAATTCCAGACCCCTGAGTCCTGGTCCAGGCTTTTTCCAAAAACCAGTTCCTCCCTGGCAATTTCCTGAAAACAAGCCATTAGAGGCACTGGATGTCCTCCATGGTGACCTGCTGTCCTGCCCCTTTCGGCCGGTGTGAGGGGACAGGAAACAGCTGCTTGGGGTGGGAAGACTTCAGAGCCTCGGGTTGGACAAGGGGAGGATTGAGAAAGGGGCTCAGAGCCGAAGGGGATGCTCAAGCAGTGGAGAGGGCTATGTGTTAGGCATGCTGAAGGGTGCTGAACAGCTAGCTAGTAATGTGTGGTACTCAGTGGCCATCCAGAGTGCTAGAACCTGGAAAGAGAGGCTGGGTTCTTAGTTGGTTGGAGCAGAGAGGCGGTGAGCCAGAAGGTTTGGTCTGCTTTTTGGAAAACAGCATGGGCTTGGCTGGGCACTACAAGCAAGGGGTCCCCAGGAAGTGGACAGAGCCTAATCTGCTGTATAATGTTTTCTTGCTTTTTTTTTTTTTTTTTTTTTTTTTTGCAAAGACAGGGTTTCTTTGTGTGGCCTTTGCTGTCCCTGTCCTGGAACTAGATCTGTAGATCAGGCCTTGAACTCAGATATCTGTCCAGGTGCTCTGTAAAATGTGAACAATAATATATGTTGCAGAATTCTTTGGGGGTTGATCAGGGAGGGTATACAGTAGGCAGTCAAGTTGAGCCACTTTCTGGTTTCCTGGAGGCTTTTCATTGCGTTCTGTGTTCTGAAGTCCTGTCATCCCATCATTTCTGTGTCCATTGTGTGTGTGTGTGTGTGTGTATGTTGGGGGGGGCAGTGTGCTGGGCATTGAGGATTGAGCCCAGGTCCTTATGCATGCTAGGCCAGTGCAGTGCCTTGAAGCCACACCCCTGTCCCCACCCTAAACTGTGTTTGTTTTTCAACAGGATCTCTCTATGTAGCTCTAGTTGTTCTGGAACTCACAGATATCCTCCTGCTTCTGCTTTGAGTGTTGTGATTATTTTCCCTTCTTTGTTGCTACCTTCCTTAATCTATATTCTACGCATAGGAGTATTTGTCTGTGTTTATGTATGTAAGTCCACGTATGTGCCTGCTCCCTGATGAGGCTAGAAGAGGGAATTGGATCCACTGGAACTGGAGTTACTAGAAGTTGTGAGCCAGTATTTGAGTGCTGGGAACCAAACTTGGATCCTCTGGAGGACTAACAATCACTTTGAACTCTTCTTCCCTTTTCTTTCTCCCTTTATCCATTTTCTGTTATATATGGAAGTTCATGAGGGCACGTATGTGGACCAGAAGACTGTTGAATCCCCTGGAACTGGAAGTACAGGTGGTTTTGAGCTCTCCAGTGCTGGGAACTGAACCTGGGTCAGTTGCAAGAACAGCAAGTGCTCTGAACTGCTGAGCCATCTCTCCAACCAATTTTTCTGAGATAGGGTCTCATGTGATCCAGGCTGGTCTCAAGCTCTGTGTAACTGAGAATTAGCTGAACTTCCGATTCTCCTGCTTCTATCTTCCGAGTGCTGGGGTGACAGGCATGAGCCATTTAGTCAGTAACCCTGGGCTTCATGCATGCTAGACAAGTATTCTAATGAGTGACTATGTCTCCAGTCCATGATCCATTCTTTTTTTTTTTTTTTTTTTTTTTTTGTGTTGCTCCGATCAAATTCATGTCCTTGTGTATGCTAGGCAAGTGCTATATCACTGAGCCAAATCCCTGCTTCCAGACCATCACCTACGTAGCCTCCATGTGTCACCTGAAGAGTCACATTCTCTGAACTCCTCATGAATAGTCATAGCTTTGTTTCCTCAGGTGCTTGTGTTTCCATTATAAAGCCCCACAAGCCAAGAACAGAGGCTTGTAGCCCTTCACTAAACACATTCCAGAGAATCAGGCCTTCTTCAGTTGCACCATTGAGCTATTTAGACTTCTTTCCATCCATCATTTATAGAAGGGTTTTGCAAGTAACCTTGCTTAAAATTCTAATGCCTACTTACATCTTACCATTTCTCTAAGAAAAATGTAAGAAATTAGTGTGTGTTCCTGTGGGTTGAACCTACTACCCGGAGAATGCTCCATAAGTAAGCATTTGGCTATCAAACTACATCCTCAGCTGTTTTCACTACTTTTTTAATGTGCACATTTTTCTGTGAGGGTGTCGGATCCCCTGGAACTGGAGTAATAGACAGTTGTGAGCTGCCATGTGGTTGCTTGGAATTGAACCTGGGTCCTCTAGAAGAGCAGCCAGTGCTCTTAACCCTGAGCCATCTTTCCAGTTCCGTTTTCACTTTTTGAGTCAGGATCTGTCTAGACAGACAACATCTGTCTAGGGTGTTGCCTAGGTTAACCTTGTACTTAATCTGCCTCCCCTTAAAGATAGGGTTACACTTATGTAGCTCTGGCTGTTTTGAAACTCACTATGTAGACCAGACTGGCCTTGAACTCATAGAGATCCACTTGCCAAGTGCTGGGGTTAAAGGCATGCACTATTAAACTTAGCTGGTACATGTGATCCTCTATTCTCAGCTTCCTAAGGTGCTGAGATTTTAAGCCTGAAATACTTCTGCTTTCTTACTTTTCTCTGCTTCCTCCTCAGGTTTGCATCTTGGGTGTTCCAACTTGGTTCACCTCAAATTTCAGCGAAACATGGTAGCACAGAACTTGGGAGGCCAGGCTTAGCCATATAATAAGACCTTGTCTCAAAGCAAAAGTGGTAGAGCATTTATGTAGTACCAAGTCTTGGGTTCCATCTGTAGCATTAGCATTTGCAAGGGAGGAGAGAGCCTGGGGATGGGTGAGGAGAAAAAATGCACTTGGGGCTATTTGCTCAAAGTTTCATTAGGTTCAAAACCAAGGGACAGGACTGGACCCTAACTTCTCTGGGGAACATTTTTCAGGCTGTGTGTTGGCTACTCCAGGAAACATGGCCAAGTTTGTCCTGAATCAGAACCTGCCTGGTGAGTGTACAAAATGACCCCAGATCCACATAGCTCAGCAGTTCCCTTTTATTATTATTAACACAGTGGCCACATGGTCTTTCCCAAAACCCTGTTAACCAATCCCATGGCTTTGTTTAAAACCCACTCCTGACACACCCCATAAATAATGTCCCACTCCCCATGGTGGCCTAGAGGACTCTCTGTCCATCCTTTTAGCTCTCTCCCTCCCTCCTTTCACCATCCTGACTTCCCTCCGACTTCCATACTTCCATCCATCTTCAGCATCCCCCTCCCTTCTAGTGTTTTCCATGGGCCATTTTTCTTCTTGGAAACTTCTACCCTTGTGGCTGCTTCCTCCTTGTTATGAAGGGCTCAATCTTTTAATTGTTCGCCACAGGAAATCTTTCCTGGTATGAGAGCCAAACTTTGACTCTTGCAGTGGTTCTGTATTGCATAGTGAATTCTTGTCTTGAAACTCATTTGAAATGACAGTGTCTATTTATGGCTAGCAAGAGGGCCCGGGTGTCGTCTTTTTTATTTAGTGCCCCAAGTTTATAAGTGTTTGGCACCTAGTGGATACTCAATAAATATGATTGCATGCTCATCCGTGTGCAGATAAGCCTGCAAGCCTCGGTGGCCATGAGCAATGGCAACTGTACAGGTGCACCACAGGTGCAAGGTGGCGGGGAACGCATTTCTTCACTCCTTTTGAGTGCTTTTTGGTTTGACCCATCTTCCTCTCCACGTCCTTGTACCACAGACCTGGGTGGCCCTCACCTGTACCCAGGCTCCACCGGGAGTGCCCGCAGTCCTAGCTCTCCTTACTCGGTGGAGACGCCTTACGGCTTCCATCTGGACCTGGATTTTCTCAAGTATGTGGAGGAACTCGAGCGCGGTCCTGCTTCCCGCCGAGCGCTAGGACCCCCGCACACACGCCGCCCGCGAGCCCCCCGAACGGGCCTTGCGGGGGCGCGGAGCCCAGGTGCCTGGACCTCCAGCGAATCCCTGGCTAGTGATGACGGTGGAGCGTCGGGCGCACTCTCTCCCGGGGCGTTCACGGGGCTCTCGCTCCCTCCGCTGTCGCCGCGCTCCTTCTCGCGCAACCCGCGCGTGGAGCACACTCTCCTGGAGACCAGCCGACGACTGGAGCAGGCGCAGGCGCAGGCCCGGGAGCGCGCGCTCAGCCCGGCCCGTGCGGTCCCCCGTAGCCCGCGCGGGTCGGGCCGGAGTAGCCCCGCCCCCAACCCCGCCCTTGCTTCTCCCGGCCCTGCCCAGCTGCAGCTGGTGAGGGAGCAGATGGCCGCGGCGCTGCGGCGCCTGCGCGAGCTCGAGGACCAGGCGCGCGCTCTGCCCGAGCTACAGGAGCAGGTGCGCGCGCTGCGCGCCGAGAAGGCGCGGCTACTGGCCGTGCGCGTGCAGCCGGAGCAAGAAGTAGAGACCGAGGCGCGCTCAGACAAGCTCTCCCAGCTTCGGCGCCTCACCGAACGTCTGGCCACCTCCGATCGCGGAGTCCGCTCCAGGGCCAGCCCCCGGGCTGACGGTCCCGACGGTTTGGCTGCCAGGCGCCCCGAAGGCGCGCTGCAGGTCCTTGACCCGGCGTCTAGGACACCAGATGGGGAACCCCAAACTCGGGAGGCGGGCATCCAAGTCGTGCCCGAGACCCGAGAGGCGGATGCCCAGGCAGTACCCGAGACAGGGGAGGCTGGAGGGGAGGTGGTCCCTGACACCGTTGAGGTGGACACGTGGGTGACCGAGGCGCTGCTAGGGCTGCCCGAGGCTGCAGAGCGTGAGCTGGAGATGCTCCACGCCAGCTTGGAGCATCAGCGCGGGGTGAGCGAACTCTTGAGGGGCCGATTGAGGGAGCTGGAGGAGGCCCACGAGGCTGCAGTGGCCAGGCCTCAATCTCGAGAGGTGGCCACTCAGACGGTATTGGGTTGCACTGAGAAGACCACGCAGACCGAGCTCCCAGTGGAGAACCAGCACAGACCCATGGCTGGAGACGAGGTGGCCCCTGTTGGTGAGTTTCCACTTCTGGTTGAACCCTGGCCTGCCAGGTTGCTTAAGTCAACCAAATTCAGTGGCCTTATGTGATTCCCTGCCAGGCATCCTCAAATCCATCATGAAGAAAAAAGACGGTACTCCCGGTACCCAATCCAGTCAGGGACCCAAGAGCCTGCAGTTCGTTGGGGTCCTCAACGGAGAGTGAGCGCTTTTTCCCCTTTTCCATGATAGCAGCCTCAGGGACACAGGCTATTAATTCCGGCTCTGCCCCCTTTGCTCATAGTCTGGCTTTGACAGTCCTCGATTTCTTTATCTTTAAAAATGCCACTCTCACCTCACAGCCCTCCCCAGTGAGTTCACAGAGGGTGCTCAGCAAATGCCTCCCATCCTGTTCCCAGGTATGAGAGCTCCTCCAGTGAGGATGCCAGCGACAGTGACAATGAAGATGGCATGGCTGAACTCCCTAGGAGTAGCTCTTCCGGGTCAGGAGAAGATAGTGGAGGATCTGACGCTGGAACTCCTGGTCCCCCTAATGTCCAAGAGTCGGAGGACTCTGAACTTGAGGCACAGCTGGAGCCGAAGGCAGGGACAGAAGAGAGGTGAGCGTTCTCCAAAGGTCTGCAGGGCAGATACCCACTCTCCTGGGCACTGTTGCCCAGGATCCTGAGTCTAGACTAGCCTCCCTGGCAGGTGTGAATTGAGCCCGCGGTTGAGGGAAGCATGCATTGCTCTGAATCGGCAACTGATGAGGCCTCGTGGAGTCACCAGAGACGGTGTGAGTATGGGCCCTGCCTGTCTTCTCTGACATCTTAGTGAGGAGTGCAGGGTTTCCTAGAGCACGAGTACCAAGTTGGTATCCCCTCACTAGAGACCTTTCTTGACCCTAAGTTCTCCAAAGAGATACCAGCCCCCAAGGACAGCTCTGACCTTTTCTTGGACTGGCCACCCACAGCCTCAAATAAAGATGTGAACCCCAGACCCATTCCATGAAACTTCAAGAGAAAGTGGGTACTCACTGCTACATTCACTCTTGGTCCTCTATTTTCCCATAAGGTAGTCTTATTCCTTGAGCCTACCAACCTCATTGGCTGTACTTCCATTGGCCTTGTTTGCCAGGATCGCCAGAGTCTTCCACACACACACACACACACACATTTTTGGCCCCTCCCATCTTTTACCAGCATTGATGCCTTCTTTGCCCATGTCCTGCCAGAGTGCAGCACGCCTTGTGGCCCAGGAGTGGTTTCGAGTGTCCAGCCAAAAGCGCTCTCAGGCTGAGCCTGTGGCAGGGGTGCTCCGAGGAGTGAAGAGCCTAGGGCCTGAGCTGCTGGCTCATGTGGTGAACCTGGCTGATGGCAATGGAAACACGGCCCTGCATTACAGCGTGTCTCATGGAAATCTGGCCATTTCTAGCCTACTACTGGATACAGGTCAGGGAATTGGGTTGTGGAGAAGAGGCCAGGGCTGGGATCATTGAGGGGCACAGAAAAGTGTTGAGTGGCAGAGGGTGGGTGGATTTCTGTTCATTTGGCCAGAAGTCAACACTGGGTATATTCCACTATGACTCTGTTGTTTTCTGAAACAACTTCCCATTGATCCTGAAACTGTTTGGCCAGCAAATCCTGTTTCCACCTCCCCAGCCTTGGGGGTTACAGACATGTCATAGTGCCCAGCTTTATGAGGATGCTGGGGATCTGGGTACTCAGGCTGGCAGTTAGTGCTCTAACGCCTTTCTATATAATCCTTGCTTGGCCTCAAATTTGTGACTTTCTTGCTTGTCTCCCAGGGGTGCAAAGCCCTTTTGACCTCACTGTATCTTCAGTCCTTAGTCAACTCCTGACCCCCCCTCCCCACAATAACATGAAGCTTTGAAATTAGAGTATCTCTATTAGCATCCCCTCTCCCCCATATCCTTCATTCTCTAGGTTTGGAACTTTTTTTGAGACAGTGTCTATGTAGCTCTGGCTGGTCTAAAACTCAAAAAAGATCCACCTGTTTCTGCTGGGATTAAAGGCATGTGTCACCATGCCTGACTGTTTTGGAGTTCTTGGGTAGGGGAGTTATTCACTGCTTAGTTTTATAAGTAGTTAGTTGTATTGTTCACCTACCTCCTGCTTGTTTAACCCTGCCTCATCATATCTCCACCGAAGCAAATACACACACATGGATATGTATAACCCCTATGGTTGCTTAGCTGCCAGTCTTATTTCACCTTCACATCAACATGATACAGCCAAAAAAAAAAAAAAAAAAAAAAAAAAAAAAAAAAAAGAAAATTTAAAATCTGGTTTTGAGACAGTCTCACTATATAGCTCTATTCTGGAAATTTCTCTGTAGACCACACTGGCCTCAAACTCAGAGATCTGCCAGCCTGTTTCCTGAGTGCTTGGTATTAAAGGTATGCACCACCACCTGGCCCATACATTTTTAGTTTTTTGAGACAAGGTTCACTGTGTAGGCCTGGAACTATATAGGGCAGGCTGGCTTTGAACTTGTGACCATCCTGTCTCTACCTTTTAAGCTGTGATTATATACCTGGCAAAATCAACAGTGTTAAAGTCTGTGTCCTTACTCTTGTAAAGCATTTGTGAATGTACAGCTATTGAATGCACCTAAGCAGAGACAATTAGCAAATAAAAACAAAAGAGGGACAGGGACACGGGAAATAACCTGCATTGGAAGAGTAAAATCTTATCATGTAAGCTGCTTGTGTCTGTATTTCTGGGGCTGTGGGTGGTTGAGACGACAGCAGGGCCTTCCTGGCTGCCAGTCACCCAAGTGTGAGCATGCATGCAGTTAGCTGAGGGACTAGGGTTGTAGTTTAGGTGTTGTTTTTGTTCAGTAATCTCAGTGCAAATAGTATTACAAGGTCATGATCCATTCTTTTCTGTGGTCAGCCTAGGCTATGAGATGCTTTCTCAAAAGTTGGCAGACAGCTGGGGTGGGGTGTGGGACACACCTTTAATCCCAGCACTCAGGAGGCAAAGACAGGCGGTGTTTGAGGTCAGCCTGGAAAGGCTGACAACAGATGCTTACCCACCATCTGTGATGCGGGAGACCCAACACTACCCGCTCCCACCAGCATTTGACAGATCTTTCTTCTTCCCAGGAGTCTGTGATATCAATCATCAGAATAGAGCTGGCTATTCTGCACTCATGTTGGCTGCACTCACGTCTGTAGGACAGCAGGAGGAAGACATGGCTGTGGTCAAGAGACTTTTCAGCATGGGTGATGTCAATGCCAAGGCTAGCCAGGTGCATAGAACGCTCCCACTCACAACGGGAGGGTAAGGCAGTGTCACTTTCTACTTTCAAAAGCCTCAAACCTGTTTTCCTCATTTTTCAGACTGGACAGACAGCCCTCATGCTGGCCATCAGTCATGGTCATCAGGATATGGTGGCTGCCTTGCTGGAACGTGGGGCTGATGTCAATGTACAGGATGCAGATGGGGCTACAGCACTGATGTGTGCCAGCGAATATGGACGTCTTGATACAGTTCAGTTGCTGTTGGCCCAGCCAGGCTGTGACCTAACCATCTTAGATAATGTGAGCCACTAGTAAGGGCCATGGGCAATGACATTTTATTTCACTGTACCCCAGATACCTAATGTCCTATTGTTTGTCAGGAGGGGACAAGTGCTCTGGCCATTGCACTGGAGGCTGAACAGGATGAGGTGGCCGCACTGCTTCATGCACACCTGACTTCAGACCACCATAGCTCCCAGGTACGTGTAGTCTCCGAGAAACCAATGACCTTCAGAAGCATTCTTTCCTGAAGAACAAAGATGGAGAACCTGTGCCTGAATTCTACTGTAAAGCTACCATTTGAAGCATACCTAGCAAAACCAGAGGTAAACACAACTTTAGGTTAGGGTTATCCTAGTTGTTGTGGGTTTTCCTTTTAAGGAAAAGGAGCATTTTGTTGTAAAGAGGCTTAGAGTTTGCCCTACTAGGAGAGCATACCCTATGGGTAGAGCATTGAACATCAAGTGCTAGGTTTATTCTTAGCATTTCTGCTAATTCATCCAGCTATTCCCACTCATCATACACTTAAATGCATTCAGTTCAGTCAGCCTTGCTCTACAAGAATGGGATGCTTCCTACATCCTTATGACCACACCCTACCTCCTGTCTACAGAAACCCTTCTTTGTTCTAGGGCCACTCACCCCCAGGGTCTCCAACAGGCACACCCAGCTAAGGGAAAAAGTGACAAATGAGGGGACTCAACCAGCACTATCTACAATTGGACCATAGGAGCTGCTTTCCTCTTATGTCTGAGCTTCCGAATCACAGCAGGGTGCCTTGTGCAGATGCCTGAACAATAATACAGCTGTCAACCCATACTTCCTAATAAAGCATTTCTACTGAACTTGTATTTTGTGTGGGTGGCTATGGTAGGGACATATATACCCTATCTCATGTGCAAGAAAGACACATCTAATACACAAAGAGTAAATGATTACTGGAGCTAGATATAAAGCAGACACTGCCCAGAGAAACCCCATCCCCAAGGATTCAAAGTTCTAGACCAGCCCTGGCTACCAGAGAGAGGAAAAAAAACCCTAACCAGACAAGAGTTACAATACAAATGCTTTATTCAATAGCGGCAGGTCATCATGGGCCAAGTGGTGATCCAGGACCCTGCAAACAGAACCAAACATTAGGAAGAGAACCTTTCCTCACCTCCCAGCAAGTGGCAATCCTTCCCAAGGGGTGCCATGTACCCACCAGCAGCAAGGTCAGCGTAATCGCCTAGCCTCTCTTTCTGACTCCAATAGGGTGAGCACATCACCCTCTCGAACTGGGCCTTTGACGTTTCGAATAATAGAGCGACTGGTGTCATCCATAAATTCCACACGCACCTATGGACCCATTAGAAGAGTTAGGTACTGCTACTTGCTAGTGGGGTGGAAAGGTGGAGTTCATGAAGAGGTATCTGTTTGGGGCAGGTGAGATGGTTCAGCTGTTTATAAATGTTCCCACAGAGGATCCAATTCCCAGCACCCACACAGCCTCTTCTAATTTCTGGACACTCTATATCAACAACCCATCCCAACCAGGAACAATTAAAGGGCTTACACCAGAATTTAGGAAGCTGCACAACCAGATTGCTCAAAGGTCTGTGATCCTGGGTAAAAGTGACCCAAGAACACAAAAAAGGTGTTTTAAAGTCAGAGTCTCACTCTGTACCCCAATCTGACCTTGAGTGAGCCCTCTGGAATTACACCACCACTCCAATAACCCTTTCCCTACCTCAGTGTTTAGGATTATATATCTGAGCCTCCCACTTATACTATGCCAGGCTAGCCCAGAAATAGGGAATCCTACTACTTTAGTCTCTTCAGTAAGCTATGATGGGAGTGGGAGTATAAACGAGATATTTTCTTTCCCTAGGAGAGCAGTCAAGGTATCATTAGACCTAATGAGATACAAGGCACACCTCACCATTCTTGGTTTTATGTGGTGCAGGGGACCCAAAAACTCCATGCCAGGGATGTGCTCTACCAACCGTGTCTCAGATTTTTTCAGAACTAGATCTCACTCATTCTGTAACTCCCAGGGATCTTCCTGACTTAGACTCCCAGTCTTTTCAGTTATGTGTATGCTAAGTAAGTCTACTAGGGACACATAGCCACATAGCCCACTGCATCTTTTTAAAAATAAGATCTTCAAAGACAGCTGCACTAAGATACCCACGTTGGCTACTCTAAGGACTCAGACAGTACCCTGGTCAGCCCAGGGTTCCGTAACTGTTAGTCCGCATGCAGGTGCAAAGGATCCATTTAAAATAAATACCTCCCTCTCTCCCTACTTACATTTTCATTCCCGTTCTCGCTCGCTGAGCACAGTGCTTTTAATGTCTCCCTCTTCTCTTGCCTCTCTTTACCTCTTTTCTCTTTCCTTACCTCCTTCCAATAAAACCTCGGTTAAGCACTGTCTGCTTGGCACGTTTGTCCCCCCCGGCGCTTTACCGTGACAGCTACCGAGTGCTAGCATAAGTGAGCCTAGCAGTCAGGATAAAAGGTCACCGAATCCAGTAATAAGCTGAGCATGCAGGAGGGCTCAGACCCCAGGAAGTCGTCCGGGTGTCCCCATCCGCTCACCTGTGTGCACTGTCCCTGCGAACCGGTCCTGCCCAGCACTTTGGTTACCTGCAGGAGAGAAGGGACAGTTAGAGCCGACAGGCCCAGCTTTCTTCTTTCTCCTTCATCCAGGCTTCTAAGCCCCCGCAGTCACCTCACCCTAGCCAGCTTGATGGGCTGCACGCGACTCGTGTCCATGATGGCGGCGATCTGGCGGAGAGGAGTCACGTGAGCAGGGGACCAACTTTATAACGCGCTCTTGGCCACGCCCTGCTCCCGCTCTCGCGAGACCGCAGCGCTACCCAGCAGTCCTCGGGACAGAGTCGTCACCGGCGTCCTTCGGAGCGGAAGAAACATGGCGTCTGCTACTCGCGTCATCCAGAAGCTGCGGAACTGGGCGTCTGGGGTACGTGCTCCTGTCAGATTGGGGCCGGGAAGGATTCGGGTTCTGTGTTTCCTCGAATCCTCTCCCGCTTCACATCTCCTTAGTTCAGTGGGGAGTCCAAGTTTTCTCAGTTTGTGACTCCATTAGTCCGGGACTCAAGGTCCTAAATGTTTTGGGCTGCTTCCTAGGATTCCCTTTCCCCCTGCTTACCGGGCTTTAGCTTCCTCTTGCTCTCCTCCTCTCCCGCCCTTCACTCTCTGTCCCGGAGTTTCCTCGTCCCCGTATCTTAGCTTTGAGTCTTGTGGCTGTAGCCTTCTCCTGTTTTGGAAGGTCGAGGACAAGTTTTTAGGTTTCGGAAGAGAACTAAGGTCAGGGAACCTATAGATTTTGGCAGTTCCTGGATAGGAACTTGGAGATGAACAAGAGGCAGGGAGGTAGCTATCTATGCATTTTAGGGTTCAGGAAAGGAGGCATATTCAGCACTGCAGGTCAGCAAGCAACTGTTTAGGTGTGTGATCTTAAGAGGGCAAGCATTTTTAGTGTATTGACCCGTATCTAAAGAAGATAAAGGGAGAAGAGAAAGAGGGAGGCTTTTAAAGTTCGATCTTGGAAAGGCTCGAAAATGTAGCAGTAAAGTTCTGTACGCTGCCCCAGCTGTCTCGTTCATCTGCAGGGCCTGTATTCTCCATATCCTGCCTGGCCACCCCTGTACACTAACCCAGTCCTGGGGTTCCCACCAGTCTGACCTCTCTTATCCTTCTCCCACAGCAAGACCTGCAGGCGAAGCTACAGCTGCGGTACCAGGAGATCGCCAAGCGGTGAGCAGGCCCAGCTTACTGCCAGCCTCATGCCCCTCATCCTGTCAGTCTTCCACCAAACCTAAATACGAGGCTGGTCATGGTGGTACAACCTTTAATCTCAGCACTCAGGAGACAGACGCAGGCTGATTACTGTGAATTCAAGGCCTGCTTGATTTACGTGGTGAGTTCCAGGCCAGCCAGGGCTACATAGTGAGACCCTGTCTGAAAAATAAATGAATGAAACAAAAAACCCTCAAATTTGTTATTCCTGAACTTTCCGTGGAACATTAGGCAGAGAGATCCTTCTTGCCAGGCTGTGGAAGCAGAAATTTACTTTTAACTTTATTGGGTTGCCTTGGAATAGTCAGGAGATAGATTGCATTATTTGTTGATATCTTGGGTAGTCTTCATTGTGACCCTACACATTAAATGTTGCATTCTCAAGCTGCTGATGAGGGGAAAATGAGACACAGGTAGGCTAAGTTATTGCTTTAAGTCACTTAGTGGCCAGTCTTGATTTGTAAATACATTTATGTATTGAGGAGTCTTTGCCATGTCCTCAGACATGGATGCCAGAGTAAACAAGAAAACTCTTGGTTTGTGGGGTTGGTGGCTTTAGTGCTCACAGGACCCTGCCTCACTTTGCTGGGTTCAGAATGATCCCCTCTGAAAACCCACCAGAAGCCTAGGGGAGCACCCAACCTGGCCCCCAACTTTGTCATGTAGCCCAGAGTATGCCCTTACACTCATGATCCTGCTTCTGCCTCAGGTGCGGGAATTCCAGGAGTGTACCACCATACCAGGTTTATGTGGTGCGGGAGACAGCTTCATGCACAGTAAATACTTTATCAACTGGACCACAGCTTAAATTTTTACTCATCTTTTTTTCTTAAAAATAGTTTTAGATTTATGTGTCTGCGTGTGTCTGTGTCTGCATCTGCATGTATAAGTGTTATGCCTGTATGAGTGTATGTCTATCATATGTGTGTCTGGTACCTGTGGCATTCAGGAGAAAGCATGAGATCTCCTAGAACCAGAGTTATGGATGGTTGTGAGTTACCATGTGGGAATCAAATCCTGGGTTTCTGTTAGATCAACAGTGCTCTACACAGTGAGCCATCTCAACAGCCCCTTGGCCTTATTTCTTCTGTGGATAATATTGTCTGGGAGGGAGAAACACTACAAGGAAGTAAATGCAGCATGCACCTTTTTACTGATTTACTTAATACTACTTATTTATGTTCTATTGAGACAGAAAGTAGGTCTTATAGACTAGGCTGGTCTCAAACTCACAGAGATCCTCCTGCCTCTGCCTCCCAAGTGCTGGGGTTAAAGGCGTGGCCACCACTGCCCAGCTGAGACAGGTCTTTATATGTTAGCCTGAACTGGTCTCTTAACTCTGATCTGCCTGCCATGGGCTGGGTTGACTGCCAGAGGCAGGATCTTACATTATAGTCCTGGTTGCCTTGGAACACGAGTCCCAGGTGGCCTTGAACTCAGTGAGATCCTTTAGGGAATTACAGGCCAAGAACTAGCAGCTTCTTTAGGATAAGGGCGCCCTCTAGTGATTCATTTGGGTATTGGCATTAGGCGGCTAGTTCTTTTTACTTTACTGTATACCAATAGAGAAAGCTATGGCTTAGCATATACATTCTTCAGGCAAATTCTAAATTTGACATACTGTTTGTCCTTTTATAACTATAATTGTAATTTTTTTCTTTTTAAAATGACTGCATTTATTTGTGTGTGTGTGTTTGTGTGTAGGTCAGAGAAAAACTTGTGGGGGTTCTTTTTTTCTCCCATTTGGTCTGGAGATATTTAGGTTGGCAGACTTGGCTGCAAGCACCTTTACCCAATGGGCCATCTTGCTGGCTACAATGTAAAACTCTCCCTAGACAGGTATAGTAACACATTCTCAGCCAACACAGCACATGGCAGGCAGGAAATCAGAGTTAAGAGACCAGCTCAGACTAACATATAAAGACCTGTCTCAATAAAACATAATAAGTAAATAGATAAATAAGTAGTATTAAGTAAATCAGTAAAAAGGTGCTTGCTGCATTTACTTCCCTGTAGTGTTTCTCCCTCCCAGACAATATTA